AACAGTGCCATCTTAAGCAGAGTTATACCCTTCAAAGCCTAATCACTTCAGAGGACTTAGAAGAGTGTGATTCTGCTTAAGATGGCTTTGTTAGTGGAATTAAGAGTTAATCTTAATCATACATTTCATTGTATAAACTAACAGCCAAGCCATTTCATCGTATTTTATTTATTTATTTATTTATTTAATTTTACTTCTACCCCGCTCCCCCCGCCACATCAGGCTTAGGGCGGCTCACATCATTATTACAGGTAAAACAATCTCTCAAGTAAAATTAAAATAAATTAAGTTTAAAACAATACATAAAGTGCTAGCAATAACATATACCATGGCGGGAGTCCACAGTTAGTGCATGGTCTGGGTCTTATCAGCAAGGAACAGGCTATTCAGTGATGGTAATGATGTTATGCCAAAGGACTACACTATGTTCTGGTTATATGACATTCATTATATATGGTTAACAATGGTTGCGGTCACACGGAACATTAGCCACGCAAGAGAGACAGAAGACAGGCGGATTTTCCGGGCGCGATCTCACCGACACATCTGGGAAGTGTAGCGCTTCCGTGGCACAACCAAGGCTTCCTGCCGAAAACACGAAGCAAAAAACTAGTACCTCGGAGGTACTATTTTCCGGAAACCGCGGGGCAAGGGCGGGCATCTGATTGCGTTTCCGGTGGCATCCGGCGCCCACCCATGTCCCCTTGCAAAAAAGGTTTTTTCCCCCAAGTCTCCGTGGATGCGCACACGTACCCAACGGAGCATGCGCATTCGTCGTGTACACAAAAAAAGAAAAGCAGTTTGCCGCACCGCACGCTTCTTCATTGCGCGCAGGCGTGTCCTGTGATTGGCACCTCTTCCTACCCACGGAACCTCCATGGTACCTCCACAGAACCTCCACAGGAGGTCTGATCGCTTAACCGTGCGTTAGTTTGCCCCGGGGCAAACAGCCACGCTCCCCCACCCCGCAGTTTCCTGCCCGTGTGCCCGGAGCCAATGTAAATCAATTCAATCAATCACAGTTAGTAATTATTTTGCATTTTTATCCTGGTTTCAAATCCCTGTTTAGCCATAATGCTCACAAGGTGAATAAGAAGGACTGTACAGAATCCTAGAACAGCAACTTTTTGTCATGGAAACTCTGGTTCTGAAAGCTTACACTTGGACTGTGTTTAGTCCTCAGAGAATTGGAATGTCACAGTTATGGAATTCTACAAGTATAATAGACCATCTTCACCACCACGAGCCCTCGATTATAAACGGCTGCTTCATTTTCTCACAGAAGTTCAATGAATGATACAACTTATTTCAATGAATGGTACTTTTGGCATGTCTGGATGAAGCAAATTGTTTGGATTCTTGCCAGCCTGGTTTCAAGCTTCATTATGGGACTAAAACAGTCTTGGTCACTTGAGTATATGACCTGATCCATGAACAGACAGAGGGAGTACAATTCTATTGATTTTCCTGGACTTCTTAGCAGCTTTTGATATCATCAGTCATGGTATTCTCCTGGACTGACTTTCCAGGTTAGGACTGGGAGGCACTGCTTTGTGCTGGTTCTGCTCCTATTTGAAGGGTAAGTTTCAGAAGACTGGGGGACTGCTGGTCAGCCCATTGGCCTTTGGCCTTCATTGTCCTACAAAGATCCATCTACACTTATCGACATGTACTTAAAAACCCTTTGGAACCACTAAATGAAGTCATCTGAAAATCTGGGCTGGATTGTCACCAGCTGAGCTCTGAGCAGGAGCAGGATTACAAAGATCTATCTTGACTCCTACACTTATCGACAGGTACTTAAAAACCATTTGGAACCACTAAATGAAGTCATCTGGAAATCTGGGCTGGATTGTCACCCAAATGGTTGTAACTGATCTCTGAACTGGTATTTGAGGGCAACTTTGGAGTGAATGTGAGCTTATAAACTAAAGCTTAATTCTGACAAGATGGAAGTGTTCCTGGTGTACAGAAGGTCTGACACAGGACTTAAGATGTCACCTGTTTGTCATGAGCTTGCACTCTCCTTGAAGGAACAGGTCCATAGTTTGGGGGTGTTCTTGGACCCAAGCCTACCTACTGCTGGATAAGCAGGTGGCAGCTGTGTCCCGAAGGACCTTTTATCAGCTTTCACTGGTTAGCCAGTTGTATATTTTCCTGGGCAGAAAAGGTCTGGCTACTGTAGTGCATGCCCTGGTTACATCTAGATTAGATTCAAAACACTCTTTGAAATAAAGCTTTATTTAAAATATTAGGTTGGTCAGACTTGATGTTGCACACATGCTGCTTGAGCAGGAGAGCTCCATTGACAATGGAAAGTACATAATGATGGCTCTATTCTTTCTTTGGTCTTTCTTCACTTCTTTTGTTGTTTCCCCTTACTCTCCAAATGGAGATATGCCTAGTTCTTGCTTGGTACCAGATGTACCTTGTATGTATCTCTGCTGGTCTCGGCCAACTCATCAGTCTCCAACTGTCTCTGCTGTTTCAGGGTCATTTCTCCTTATCTTGCAATACTGGCTTGGGGCAGAGGAGGCTTGGCTTACACTGTTTCCAGAACTTCATATGCCATATTTGGGAATAATCTGTCCCTGGGCCAGGGTGTACAGCCTGTATGGTCTTTCATCTATATGATACCTCTGCCATAGATACACATGCACACATTTTGCTCATGATCTTGCAAGTTTTCTCTGTTTCTAAAGAGGCTTAAGAAATTAACAGTGTTAACATTGCTGAATACACAAATTAGTTCGGGGACAGTTGCAGTTTGCAAATTAGCTATTTTCTTGATCCCGCAGACTTAGAAGCATGCATATAAGCATTTAATTAAGTATTTTAATGACGTATAATATATTAGCATCCAGTGTTAGGCACGGAATACAGATTCCATGTCTCACACAGATCATAATGAGAGCCAGCCACAGAGAAGCACTGGCAATTTGAGAACAGGTACAACCGCCCACAGATAAACCTGTAAATTAATTAAAATAAATTTAAAGAATTGTCAGGTGGTTTGGGCTTCAGCAGTGAGACCAACAAAGCATCACCTAGCAAATAGCATTCTGTTTGAAAAAGCCCTCAGTGTCAGTGTTCAGTCGCCTTAGAACTGCTGATGCAACAGCCCATGACTGGATATTTGCAGTGTCAAATATGAAAGAATACAAGGTCCCCCTCTGGCCTGGGAAGAACTCAGTCCAGTTTATTCCCTGGTACAGCAACAGCCACCAGTGCTGCAATCCAGGCATTCTTCCTCATTCTCTTTCTCTCATCTGTGTGGCAGAGCTGGGCTACACACAGTTTTTTAGAACAGGATGAGGGGGAAGACAGCAACAGACTTTAAGCAACCTCCCGCACCCTATTCATCCATCAGCTGTGGAGGAGATGCAGCTTCCTTAGAGTAAACATGACTGAAAAGTAAGTGGGGAAGGATAGGGTGTCCTCTTTGCATTTTCACAACCATTTCCTCAGCTACTGATTTTACAACAGCAAAGTGCAAAATAAGTGCCAAGTAAAGATGTTACAAATCTCAGTGTAGTTATTTCATAACATCCCAATATAGTTAATTCATCCATGCAAAAGATGTTGGGGCTTCAATTTAAATTTCTGGCACAGTATGGGATACATTGCTTTAGAGAAGTTCAACAAAAAAAAACTGCCAGTGGATTGGAGAACCTTGCCTAGGAGAAAAAGTAAAGAGGAGAGAGTTTTTTCATTTACAAAATAGACAGTACGGAGGGGGGGATCGAGACAGAAATTTTATAATTATGAATAGTGTGGAGGAAAACAGCAAAAGGAACCTCCCTAGTTCTTTCTCAAATTATTAAAATACTGGATCATCTAGTGGACTTAATTGCTTCATAACAGAAAAAAGTGTTTATTGCACCCTTAAAATCAAACTCCCCCCTCCCATGATCAGTGGTAAAGCACCTGCTTTGCATGCAGAAGGAATAAAAGAAAAGATGGGACCTTGCTAGTTAACCACAGATTTACAACTTCAGAGGAAATGAATCTGTAATGAGGAGGGAATATAAATTTGTCTTTGTGTGGGCTGACCTGCTAACTGGAAACTGCTAGGCTCATATGCTGAGACAGCCCCTGTGCTCTATTTCCCAGCCAAGAGGGGTGAGTGTTTAATTCAGAAGGAGCTATCCAGGACCGAGGCATTCAGGAACTGTGCAGAGATGCGGCTGCTAGGGAGCTATCCAGTGTTTCAGCATGACAGCAATTTGCTGGGGATTCTCAGCTTGCTGTTGAGCCTCCAGAGCAGAGTACCTGCAGAAGGATGCAGGAAAGGACAACAGAACCTCAGCTAACAAGGTAAGGAAGAACGAAGGATCCTAAAGATTAGCTTTTAAAAACTCGAGCTACAAAGAGCGTAATAGACATGTGTGAATACTGTCGAGTGAGAAGAATATCTGTGAATGAATGAACAGAAGAGAGAATCATGTGTATATAGCTTGGTTAGCCTCTCATTTAAGATTCTTCACTCGGAGAAGAATGCTTTAAATATGTGCTTAGTATTTCCTTTCAAAACAGTGATTTGTGTGGCATGTTGCCACTATGCAATTCAAAGAACTATAACTAAGACAACTATGTGACAAAAGACAGTTTTCTGCTAAATGATAAACACTATATGCATTTCACAAGAGATGAATTGTGTCTAAAAAGCCAGAAGCATGTCCAAACTTAATTATTTATACTAAAAATGTATTTTCTTTAGGAAATATTGAAAATAGAAGGACAGGTGCAAGAACTATCCCCAAGAACTGCATTACCAGTCTAAGTAAATCAAGAAGAAAGTGCTTTAAAAGGTAAATGACATGATGACCAGTTTATCCTCGACAGCTGCAAGAATGATGGATCTGAAGAAAATCTTTGAGACTCAAGGAATTTCTAATGGATGGCTCTCATCTGTGATCTTTTTTTAAAAAGCTCTGCACTTCCCAGGTTCACCAAACTAAACATTAGTCAGAGGACACCAGTCTTGGTAGCTTTGGGAAATGGATAATTTTTCCTCTCAGTCTGAACCCGATGTTTCCTGCCCTGAAGTGGATGTCAGTTGCTACAGCACAGGACATCGGTGGCAGAACATGTCAGCTCCACAACTGATCCCCAAGTTCTACATTGCTGTGCCCATCATTTACTCTGTTATCTGTGCTGTAGGACTCACAGGCAACTCTGCTGTCATTTATGTCATCCTAAAAGCTCCCAAAATGAAGACAGTGACCAACATTTTCATCCTAAATCTGGCTATTGCTGATGAGCTCTTTACTTTGGTTCTTCCCATCAACATAGCAGACTACCTGCTGCTTCAGTGGCCTTTTGGTGAATTCATGTGCAAACTGATTATCTCCATAGACCAGTACAACACATTTTCAAGCATTTATTTTCTAACTGTCATGAGCATTGACCGATACCTGGTGGTGGTTGCCACTATCAAATCAAAGAAAATATCCTATCGCACATACAGGGCTGCAAAGCTGGTGAGTGTGAGTGTCTGGTTTTTTGTCACAATAATTATCTTGCCCTTCAGTATCTTTGCCAAGATACATACTGAAGAAGGGAGATCCCAGTGTGTATTTGTCTTTCCCAATCCAGAGGGCTTCTGGTGGAAAGTTAGCCGGCTCTACACCCTGATTGTGGGTTTTGCCATCCCAGTGTCCACCATTTGCATCCTGTACAGCACCATGCTTTACAAACTAAGGCACATGCGTCTCCACAGCAATGCTAAAGCCTTGGACAAAGCCAAGAAAAAAGTGACCATAATGGTGCTGGTAATCTTGGCTGTGTGCCTGCTTTGTTGGACGCCCTATCACCTCAGCACTGTGGTAGCCCTCACCACAGACATACCACAAACCCCTCTGATAATTGGGATCTCCTATTTCATCACCACACTGAGTTATGCTAACAGTTGTCTCAACCCATTCCTTTATGCTTTTTTAGATGATACTTTTCGGAAGAGTTTCCACAAGTTGATTGAATGTGGGAGTTCCTCATAAAATTCTGATCTCTTTTAAAATCACCCCTTGAGTGGTTTAGTTTAAGAAGCTATGAGAAGCACAGCTGGAAGGGGACAGCTTGGGCCACATACCAAGTCTAAACTTTCTGTAAGCTCAAGGGACAGGAACTGGCTGGTTTTGTTCTTTAACTAGCAACCAATGTATTTAGACTGGATGCAAAAGCTTGCTGAATCACCATTGTGCATCCTCTATGGCATTTCTTCTACTACACCTCTTTGTTGTCAATTCCCCCACCCCTTTGGTATGATATGCAATGAAGTTCTTTGGAATGTAAAATGAGGATTTAAAAAAAACCTTTATGGAATAAATAAACAATGATTTACAGAATGACACTAACTGAAGAAGAGTCCTTTGGTGGTAATATTGCTGGAGTTTTGTAAAGCCAAATAAAGATATGCTGAGTGCCTTTTCTTAATGAATCTGAACTCTACAAGTTTTCAGACTTCCTTACATGTATCCTTCCTCTATCATATTTTATGAGCAAAACAGTTTGAAAATTTGGCAACATAGATGCTTTTGTGACAATGTCAAGGGGGAGTAATCTCTTCTTATTTCTTTCCATTTGTGTGGCAGTGCAGACTTGGCCCTATAATGCAGCTGATTTTAAACTACAAAGTGCAAAATTTATACATACAAACTCTATTTGATGGTCTTCTATTTAATGGTTTTCCATTTTTGCAAAGGAAAAAAAATCTTCTAGAATAAATGTCAAAGCTTGAGTTTTGTCACACATTTTAAGTAATATCTTTGTTCTTCTACTTAGGTATCCAAAACAAGGATATACAGTCTCAAAAGTTAACTGATAAATACAACATATAGAGGTGAAGTACAGTTGTATTAGGGTTTAGCAATAAAAAGTGTGGGGGGGGGTTCCTTTTAAGACTCACAGATTCTTTACAGCAACCTTTGTTTCTGTGTCGGTGCCAAGAGATTATGTAGCACTGGGTGCTGAGAGCCACCTTCAGTGGGAAGAAGAAATTTCAATCCAAATATAATATTGGTTGCCCTAAGTACCAGACCAGTAACTACAATTTTTAGACTGCGATCCACAGAATTCCTCAGAGGTAGCTTTTATCTTCAAAAAACAGTTTGACAAAATCAAGTGGAAATGCTTCAGATAGAAGATGCCTTGAGTCAAATGGGAGCTGGTTCCACTGTATTTCTTCCTATGAAATAACTACCTGATTCTGTCCACTCAGGTGATCTAGGGAGGAATCTTATGCAGATCTACTCAGAAGTAAGTCCCATATTATTCAATGGGGCTTACACCCAGGAAAGCATCCCAAGCATTGCAGCCATAGCTTACTATTATTTTAAGATCCCCATACTTAGGACTTCACATGCAGTAGTGTGCAGTGTTCTTGTGTACCGCCCCTGGTCAGCTAGTGGTGTTTTGGAGCTTGACCAATACAGAATTGCACACTGATTCAGTCCTATCACCCCTTCCCACAGGTAATCTATATCAAAACATTGTCAGCTGCATAGCTGACAAACCTGACCATATGTTCTGCAATCCACATGTGATCTCATGTACCAAAGTCTGGGAGTTTCAGCATGAGGAATTACTCATGAAACAAACTGTTCATATATGTAAGATAACATAGAACCTTTGCACACACTTGTTTCCCCATCTGGACAATCTGCCCAAGATGAAGAGATTATGTCAACATTATGTTCTTAGCATAAATTATGAAAACTGTATATTTCTTGTTAAATTTGGACTGAACCATGAAAAGCAAGATGAGCTTGTACACTCCCCTCCACTATCTTGATTCACATGGTTGCATCTTAAATGAAGGTAAGATTTTGATTTCTTCAGCTTTCCCCTAAACTCCCATGATAAATTAATAAAAGTTTCCAATATTTGTGAAATGATTTCTAGAGACAGGATTTGTAGCACTCCCTTTGATTATATTTATTTATTTACAGAATTGATGACCCACCTTTCTGCCCTCATCAAGGTCACTAAAGTGGCTAACAGATTGAAAGCACACAATAAAAACACATCTTAAAATTATTAAAATCAAACAAAAACACATTATTAAACCAAAAACAAGCTAAAATACACAAATAAAACAATTAAAAAATAAGTAAAACATAAGGCAGGAACACCAGACAAAACAAAAGGGAACTTCATTCAATGGTGAAAGGGAACACCAGACAAAACAAAAGAGGGTCTGAGGGAACACCAGACAAAACAAAAGAGACTTCATTCAATGGTGAAAGATGGCAAGAGAAGGGGACAGGTGAGTCTCTCTGAGTTCCAGAGTTTTGGTGCCATAACCGAGAAGGTCCTCTCCTAGGTTAAAGGTAAAGGTAAAGGTTTCCTTGAAGTTCCAAATTTTCAGCTCCACAACCCAGAAGGCCTTTCTCAGGTTGCCAGATGGTTGGGGCACCTGAAGTAGTGCCTCTGAAGATGACCTGAGAGGTTGGGTAGGTTCATATGGGAGTGTCCCTCAGATATGATGGGCTCGAGCTGTATAAGGCTTTAAAGGTCAATACCGGCACCTTGTATTGGGCCTGCTGCCACCTGCTTATCCAACAGGATGGCCAGGTCTCTTACCACCCCCCAGCTACAAACTTGCTCCTTTAGGTGGAGTGCACACCTATTCAGAATAGGAGACATCACAGTATCTTGGTCAGACCTCTCCCCCCCAAAAAAAAATGACTAGCACCTCTGCTATGTGAGGATTACGTTTCAGCTTGTTAGCTCTTAATCAGTCCCAACACTGCCTCCATACACCTGTTCCTGAATTCCCCAGCCCCCCTAAAATCTGCTGGAAGTGCGAGATAGAGTTGAATGTCTTCTGGATTAGGGGTGTGCACAGAAAAAAATCAGTATTTTTCAGGTTTAGGTAAACCAAACCCCCAAAATATTGGTAAATTCCTGAATCCCAGTATCAGTATTATACTGGGATACAGGAAATACTCAGCATTCCCGAAAATATTTGGCAGGCCATTAGAGCATGTCAGTTTCACTCCCCCTCTGGTTCCAAGTGGAGGGGGAGTGAAACTGACCTGCTCTCCCTCCCCTTCCCTTCCAAGGTGGGCCAGCTGAGGAAGAGAAGGCAGATCAGGGAGGCATCTTTAAATGCCTCCCCTTTGAAGAGAGAAGGGGTTTAAAAATGTTAAACACCTTCTCTGGCGTCTCTCCATTGTTCCCTATGGGGCCATATGGTACAATGGAGAGATTGCATTGCAGCTGCAGCACGACTCTCAGGCCTGGCAGGAGAATATAGGGGATGGCATTTAAATGCCTCCCCTTCCTCCCCCTACCATGCACTGCTGCCTTCCCTTCCCCAGCCAGCCTGCCATGGGGCTGAGGAAGGGAATGGGAGGTAGAGAATGGGAGGTAGACCTGCTCTCCCTTTGCTTCCCCAGCTGGCCCGCCGTGGCAGGCTGACCAGGGGAAACGAAGACAGATTGGGCAGGCTATTAAAGATGCCTCCCCTTTGCTTCCCCAGTTGGTTGCCACAGTAGGCTGGCTGGGGAAGCAGCTAGATCTGGGAACCATTTAAAAATGCCTCCCCAATCTGTTTTCCCTTCCCTACCTGATCTGGGGATAAGACCAGCTTTTATTCAGGAACACCTTATTGGTAGCTGAATCAGATTAGAGAATCTGATTCAGCTGAATACATACCCGAAAAATACCGCAAAGCTGAATGTACACCCATAATCTGCATATGGGTGTCAATCCAGCCCAGATCTCCAGATGGTTTCTCTCCCAGTGGTTTCATGTACATGCTGAAAAACAAGGGGGCTCTTGTGGGGAGCCCATAGGCCAGAGTCCAAGGGGCAGAGTAGCAGTCCTCCCACAATACACTATATCACAATATATCTTTTTAAAAACCTTTTCTTAATACTTTATTATAAATATTTCAATACAACTTCCAATATTACAACAAACATATATACCTTTGAGGTATGACTGAAAACATAGCTGAACCATTCCTCTCAGTCACAATCCCAAAAGGCAGCCCAGAAGAATATGAGGATCAATGGTATTGAAAAGCTCTGAGAGGTCCAGAAGAAGTTACAGAGTCACACTCCCCCTCACCATTCCCAGCACATGTTTGGTCACTAGGGTGACCAAGGCCATTTCAGTCCCATAACCAGGCCTGGATCCAGGCTGGAATGGATCCAAACAATCCATTTCATTCAGGAATCCCCAAAGTTGCCCAGCCACCACTTTTCCAATTACCTTGCCCAAGAATGGTACGTTCCTGAATGGTAACTGCTACTAGGTGGTATTTGTTCAACTCTCCTGGGTCCAAAGTAGATTTTTTTAGGAGTTGCACCACTGCCCACTTCAAGACAGGGGTAACAACCCACTAAATATCTTTCACCCCCCTCTAAATACCTTGTTATACAATGGGATATAGTTCAAAGAAAGTTAGGATAGCAGCTGTGGGATCCTGTAGCCTGCCACCTGGCATAACTGCAGTACAGCATGAACAGTTCAGTCTGAAGAATGTGATGAAGGGAGCTTTGACTCTCGAAAGCTTATACCCAACAAAGCAAGGTGCTACTGGACTCTAGGCTAGTTTTTCTACTGAAGACCAACACAGCTACTTTCTGAAACTATCCTAAGCAGAGCTATACCCTTATAAGGCCATTCGCCGCTTGTGAACCGCCCTGAGCCTTTGGGAGGGCGGTATAGAAATCTAAATAATAATAATAACAATAACAACAATAACAACAATAACAACAATAACAACAACAACAACAACAACAACAACAACAATAATAATAATAATAATAATAATAATAATAATAATAATAATAATAATAATAATAATAATAATTAAAAAAAAGAGCCAGCTTGGTGTAGTGGTTAAGTGCACAGACTCTAATCTGGGACAACTGGGTTTGATTCCCTACTCCTCCACTTGAAGCTGCTGGATGACCTTGGGCAAGCCATAGTTCCAAAACAGTCAGGTATGAAAAAGTATATACAGATGTGTGCTAGATGCCCACAG